TAGTACTATAATGGGTATAGTAGGCGTTATAGTAGGTGGTACAGTAGGTGGTTGTAGTAGGTGGCATAATAGGTGGTAAAGTAACAGAGCCTCTAATTAGCAATAGAAATGGCAATTTTGATCTGCGTTAGTCAGCGTTCATGATGAAACAGTTGCCAATCACCAATTATAACTCAGCTTCACAAAACACGAAACATTTATGCGGTCTGATAATTTCATGTATTAAATGAAGAATGTGTAACGAAGCACACTTTGATGTAGACTGAACCTTTCTGCGTTGTTAGTTTTGTGGTTTTGTATTGAGTCATCTATACAGAGTCATTTTCCTAAAGAAACACATTCAAGGAATTGTCAAAATCTACATTAAGTTATTCTGCCGGAAATATGACGATCGATGAGAAATGGTGAGACGGTTAAGTACCAAACATCTGCTCAATGACGCAGGCTGGGCGTTTCCATTGGAAACGTGTTTTGAGTAGTCAATAGTGAAAACGAATCTGTGCGCGCAACGCTGGACTCTAGATATTAACCACGAACTCTGGAAAAGAAAACGCCTTTCCTTCCGGACAATTCCACAGGAAATCATATCTTGTTATATATTGGTAGGTAAACCTCTCTGAGCATTACTCTGTTTTCCGCATTCCGATGGATGCATGTTAGGTTCGGCATATTTAGTTCGACGTCATGAATCAAACATCAAACCTGATGAATTATCTGGTTGGCACGGCGTGTGAAAAGTCGAAGTGAAAGTTCTATAAACTTTTATTTATATCACCAGTATATATTTTAGTTAGTAACTTTATGTTGGTATATTCTTTATTCAAAAATCTACATATACAAACTACCAAAAACCAACGATGAAAAAATCAATGAAACATATCTGAAATGACTAATGAATTTCTTTGTTTGTTAGTGCTTTACCAAATAATTTTTACAGTATGATGAGAAAATTACACTAGAAATACTTCACAGATTTAAAAAGCTAGTGTTTGAGGCACATTTACAGTAGTTACAGGGTGTCTGTGATACAGTTTTGTAAGTAGACCGAAAAAAAAATGGCAGATAGACCGAAAAAAAATGGCAGAAGAAACAATATTTTGCTATGACAATTAATATTCATCACAGTAAATAAGAAATCCACACCCGCCAAACTAATCTAGATAAATGAAAATTAGWACAATTASATCCTGTTCTTCTCTATCAATAYTYTTAATTTKAGYCACAAATAAACAAGACAAGCAGACRGTGCTGTCRAGTCGAGTCTCGATGCTAATTCAAACTATTCACAGACAATTCAAAACAATTCTTTAAAACTTAAAGCTCAGATAATTTAAGAATTATTTGGATACATTTCCATGTATGTAAATTTAATGGCKAAATAGAATAAAAAACTGTACACAAAATATCAGAAAAATTGTATAGATTAAACTGGAAATACTTATTTTGTTTTGTCAAATTATTTTGTTGATGTTCCCAGTACATGGTTCAACCAAACAGAATTCAGTGTTTACACTTCAGGAAACGTTAATGTTTTCTCTCGAGAATTAACTGAAGAATGTGCAACGAAGCACATTTTAACAAGCCACAGTCTTTGTGAATTACTAACTTTGTTAATTGTTAGTTTAAATAACCATCTTGATCCTTAAATACATTCAAAGAGTTCTCTCTACTTACAATAAGTTATTTCTGACGATCGATAAGCAATTGTCTCATATTGATAAGTTTACAAAAATATCTGACTTTTTGACATTATTCATTTGTTYTGGCTGATTGTAWGGCAGACATAGWGATATTTCAAAGATTTAAAATCTATTGTCCGAGRCACACSTACAGTGGTCGCAGGGTRTCTGTTATCTAGCTTTGTAARCAAAAACAARTTTGACAGGAAWAACAGTAAATGAYAAAATCCACAACCATCAATCCACACCAGATCCCAATGAAAAAAAGTACGCAATGACCCATACAAAGATCACATATTATCCTATATTAAG